CCACTTAGTTTGTGGCACTTTGTTACAGCATCCCCAGCAAAGTTATACCCAAGGAGTAGTCCATTTCATTGTTAAAGGACACAGAAGCTCATGCCCTTGGTCATTCATGAATGTGTAATTAGGTTTTGGCCAGGAACAGAGGCTCATGCCTGTAATCCCAGCACTTTGGAAGGCTGAGATGAGAGGATCACTTGAAGCCCAGAGTTTGAGGCCAGCATGGCCAACGTGGTGAGACCCCATCTACACACACACACACAAATATTAGTTGGGCATGGTAGCATGCACCTGTAATCCCAGCTACTCAGGAGGCTGAGGTGGCAAGACTGCTTGAGCCTGGGAGTAAGAGGCTGCAGTGAGCTATGATTGTACCACTGCACTGTAGCCTGGACAACACAGGAAGTCCCTATCTGTCTCTTAAAAAAGGGCAGGGGTTTAATTTTGTGTCTTTGTTGTTACTGTTGTTTTTTGAGATGGAGTCTCACGCTCTGCCCAGGCTGGAGTGCAGTGGTTCAATCCTGGCTCACTGCAACCTCCACCTCCTGTGTTGAAGTGATTCTCCCACCTCAGCCTCCCGAGTAGCTGGGATTACAGGTGTGCACCACCACACCTGGCTCATTTTTATATTTTTAGTAGAGATGGGGTTTTACCACATTGGCCAGGCTGGTCTCAAACTGCAGACCTCAGGAGATCACCCGCCTTGGCCTCCCAAAGTGCTGGGATTACAGATATGGGTCACTGCACACAGTCAATTTTATGTTTTGGCTGGGTTGGGTCTCGCAGGTGTATGGTTAATAAACCAGGTCTAAATATTTCTAGGCTACCGGTGGCTCGGGCATGCACTGACAGCAATGTTATGGATGGTGATATTGGCTTCGAACATGGATGAAAACAAGATCTGGTCTCCTTTTTTCACCCAGACAATGTCAACGAGCTGACCTAGGAGATGAAAGGACAGGTACATGAGGCCATGTGTACATCCTGGGAAAGGGGATACCAACGGCTGGGACCCCAGCACCCCTGCCACCACCCAGCCCACCTGGCCAGCAGCTCTTCCATGTTTGTTACAGCTTTTGAGACGTTTGCTATTCAGAGGAGGATGAATCAAGGAAAGTACAGGGCTGGCGCACAATTCTGTTAAACATGACAAGGAATATGCTTTGGTTCAAGAAAACCCATGGCCAGGCACGGTGGCTCACACCTTTAGAAGGCCGGGGGCAGAGGATCACTTGAGCCCAAGAGCTTGAGGCCAGCCTGGGCAACAGAGTGAGACCCCTCCCCAACTCCACCAAAAATGTAAAAGGAAGAAAAAAAAGATGTAACTTAGGCATTACCCATCTCCAGGTAGCCTTCCTGATGGCGCCATCCCCAGGTGGGCTCAGGGGCGGCCTCTGTTCTCGGGGCATCAGAAGCTGCCTCCCCGGGGCAGTGGTCCTGGGTCAGCTCCTGCAGGAGTCCAAGCACAGGATGATGGTGGATGGATCAGGACTGCAGGTCAGAGATGCAAAGAGGCAGACAGCTTTGGGACACACTTGGTGAGATCAGTGGGATTTGCTGCAGGGTGACTGTCAGGGTGTAGGGGAGAATTCTGGACCGGCTGTGTCTTCATCTCTCTCTTCCCTCCAATCCCAGGAGAGCAAATGAGGCAGAAGTACTTGCTGGCCCTGCTCACCAGCTCCATTCTCAGGAACTCGAGGACCATCAAGTTCCATGGCTGGGAGGGAGCCTTTCTGGACAGAGTCCTGGGCATCCGAGGCCAGGAGCTGGGCGCCTTGTGGACCTCCGGCCTCCTCTTCTCTGTGTCGCTGGTGTCCTTCCAAGCATCTACATTTCTGGTGATGTCACTCTAGTCTCTATGCCAAGCAGGACTGGGAAGGAGTGTGAGGGTCAGGAGGTGAGGTAGGTGGAGCCTCCCAGATCCTACCACCCTGTCCATCAAAACCCACACATTCTGGATTCTGTTCTCTCAGGGTTCCTCCTGTCTTCTGCGTGAACAAATTAATCACATGATTCTGGTGAAGGTGGCAGTGGCTGATGAGTTCTGCTGTTCTGAGAGTTCCAGGCTTCTACTGATGTGGAAAGGAGGGTTCAGGTGCAGGTGGGCTGCAGAGGTAGAATCCAGGGTCTGAGTGGCTTTCCTGCTGCAGGCCAGCAGATGTCCACAGCCACCCTGTCACTGACATGATCCTTGTCCTACCATTCCGTCATTTATTTCCGATGGCTGTCAGAACACTCTTCCTAAAGCACAGCTGTCAGAAGAATTTAAACATGTTGATGCAGAGGCCAGGTGCAGTGACTCACGACTGTCATCCCAGCTCTTTGGGAGGCTGAGGTGGCTTGAACTCGGGTGGTGGAGATCACAGTGAGCCGAGATTGTGCCACTTCACTCCAGCCTGGGTGAGAGAGCAAGACTTTGTCTCAGAAACAAAATGAAGCAAAACAAAACAAAAGGACCACAAATGGCACCAACACCTAGAGCCCTCCCGGGCTGCTCTTCCCAGGAGTCCCTAGGCTCAGCCCTCATGTCTATCACCTTCACAGAGAGGCCCTTCCTGACCGCCTTCTCCACCACCACAGCACCCCTGCTCATGCTAATGCACTCTACACCTGCACCTGAATTTCTCTTTACTTTTTTATTTTTGAAGACAGAGTCTTGCTCTGTTCCCCAGGCTGGAGTACAGTGGTGCAATGTCGGCTCACTGCAACCTCCACCTCCCGAGTTGAAGCAATCCTCCCACCTCAGCCTCCTGAGTAGCTAGGATTACAGGCAGGTGCCACCATGCCTAGGTCATTTTTTTTGTACTTTTAGTAGAGATGGCATTTCACCATGTTGGCCAGGCTGGTCTTGAACTCCTAACCTCAAGGGATCCACCCACCTCAGCCTCCCAAAGTGCTGGGATTAGAGGCATGCCTGGCCATGACCTGTGTCTTGTATGACCTCCTGTCTCATCCTGTGACTTAGAATGCCTAACCATCTGGGAATGCAGCCCAGTAGGTCTCAGCCTCATTTTACCAAGCCCCTATTCAAGATGGAGTTGCTTTGGTTCACACACCTGTGACAAACAGTCAGGGTTATGCTCTAATAAAACTTTATTTACAACAAAAGGTGTAGGCTGTAGTTTGCCAACCTGTTTCACATCAGCCAGGACATCTTTCTCCCCCCAAAGTTTTGATCTAGCCATCCTCCCCAGGCCCCCTCTCCCCTGCCTGCCCCACCTCCTGATTGGTTCTCTGTATTTTCTCTGTGGGTTCCTTGCTGCATTTGTAATTAGCTGGAGAAACTGCGTTGGTCATCAAACCTGCTCCTTCAAGAGGGTCTGAGTTCCTCCCACCACAGGGACATGGGTGGCACTGATAACCCCAGGGTGTGTGGGAGGCAGTGCCAGGTTGTTCAGGGCTGGCTGACTCTCTGCACAGGGCAGCCCACATCTCCTTGGTGGCATTCCAGGTCTTCACAGACATTCACAATGGCAGCTCGGGCTTTGAGCATTCTGGACACATCCTGATGGGACCCACATCTGTCAACTAGTCTGTGAGCTGCTGTTACCATGACGGGCACGTGGAGCTCTCTGGCCAAAGCTGGCATAACAGTGAGGCCTTCTTGTGGGCTGGATTCCCAGGCAACGCCTCCCTGCTCACAGAGCTGCAGATACATGGTAAGGCACTGAGCACACAGCCCTGGGACTGGGGAGCTAGCTTCTTCCAAATCTAGACCCAGATGGCACCCCATCAAGCCCAGTGTGGCCCTGGACTCTGGGACAACCAGGACAGCCTTGCCCATGAATGGCCTCACTCCCAAGGCAGGCAGATTAATTTCCTAGGACTTCTGCAACGAAGTCCCACACACCGAATGGCTTAAAACACAGAAATCTTAGCTGGTGTGCACAGGAATCTTAGCCAGATGTGGTGGCACATGTGTGTGGTCCCAGCTACTCGGGAGGCTGAGGCAGGAAAATCACTTGAGCCAGAAAGTGGAGGCTGCAATGAGCTATGATTGCAACACTGTGCTCCAGCCTGGGTGACAGAATGAGACGCTGTCTCAAAATAAAACAATCCACAGTGGATTGAACACCCGTCTGTCTTGAACATGACATTATTTTTACTTATTCCATCTGTAAAGACCATTTACTTACTTACTTACTTACTCATTTGTTTAAGACAGAATCTCACTCTGTCACCCAGGCTGGAGTGCAGTGGTGTGATCTTGGCTCACTGCAACCTCTGCCTCCCATGTTCAAGTGATTCTCCTGCCTCAGCCTCCTGAGTGGCTGGGATTACAGGTGTGCACCACCGTGCCTGGCTAATTTTTGTATTTTTAGTAGAGACAGCGTTTTGCCATGTCGGTCAGGCCGGCCTCAAACTCCTGACCTTGTGATCCATCTACCGCGGCCTTCCAAAGCACTGGGGTGAGAGTTGTGAGCCACCGCGCCCAGCCAAGACCCTATTTCTAAATAAGGTCATATTCATAGGACAGAGAGTGAGGGGAGTGGGACTTCATTATCTCTTTTTGGGGTCTGTGGTTCAGCCCATTATGGGGGGAAAATAAAAGCAATAAGAGGAGCCAGCATTGGCTGGGCACTTGCTACCTACACGCCAGGCAAGCTGTGCACACACGAGAGCTCCGTACAATACGGTTGTCCCCATCACACAGGGGACCACCACAGCTCTTAGAGGGGCCTGTGAGCTGGCAGAACCCACACCCTTCCCCTATCTGACCTCGTCTCCCGGCCCCCAACCCCACCTGTTCCACTCCTTTCTATTCTTTAACACACCAGGTTTGCTGCTGCCCCAGGACCTTGGCACGGGCTGATCCTGCCGCCTGGAATGCCTCTCTCCCACACACCTGCCTGGCTCCCTCGCCTCCCTTAGGTGTTTTTCCAATGGCATCTCAGGGAGGCCTTTTTCCACCTCCCCATCTCCTGCCACCCTCTCCCCAGTTCTGTCATTTGAACACACCATGTAGCATACAAATACCTATGCTTCTCATTTTCTCTTCGCTTGTTTCTCATTTTCTCTTCACAAGAATCACCAGAATGTGTGCTCCATGAGGGTAGGGATGATTTTTGTCTGCTTTGCCGCAGGGCACATAGTAGGTGTTGAATGTGCATGAATGAGCATATGAGGTAGGGTTAGGAATGCCATTCCCATTTTGCAGATGAGGAATGGAGGCTCAGAGAGGTTAAGTCACCTGGCCCAGGCCACACAGCTGGTAATGCTGGAGCAAGGATTGAACCCAGAGCTACTCTCTGACCCCCAGATAGATTATGGAGACCTGGCTCTTGACCATTCAGGACCCCTGGGTCTCCCTAGTCCCCTAGGGCATCTTCTGTTGGCCTCGAACTTTTTTTATTTTGGGGGCTTGGTTCAATGGCTCATGGCTGTAATTCTAGCACTTTGGGAGGCTGAGGCATGTGGATCATTTGAGGGCAGGAATTAGAGACTAGCCTGGCCAACATGGTGAAACTCTGTCTCTACAAAAATATTAACTGGGCATGGTGGTACATGCCTGTAGTCCTAGCTACTCAGGAGGCTGAGACATGAGAACCACTTGAACCTGGGAGGTGGAGGTTGTAGTGAGCCAAGATGGCACCACTGTATTCCAGCCTAGGTGACAGAGTGAGACTGCATCTCAAAAAACAAACAAAAAAAAATCCAACAAAAACTTTAGTTTTGGCCCTCAGCCTCCTGAGGGGTGAACGGAGGACTGGGTCACATGAGGAAATTGCCCCTAGTCTGAGCTCAGAATTTGTTGAGGACAAGTGATGGAGTGATGAGAGGTCATTCTGGATGAACACCCTCACGCCGCTCTAGTTCCTGGCCCAGGATGTCAGTTGTGGCCGCCCCCAGCCACGAGTGACCTCTCCCTCCTCCCATGGCTGTCCACAGTCTGCTGTCCCCCATCTTGGGGACATTTTCTGCCTGTTAACATTCTTGGTATCTCTGACAGCCAGGCACTCCCGGGCGTGGGAATTGTCTCCCCTCCCTCCTCTTGGCCTGCACGTAGTAGGTACATGTGGTTGAGTGTGGAATGAGGAAGGAAGGAAGCGTTTCCCAGGCCGCCTGCATGCCCCACAGGCGGTCCTTTCCCATGTGTTACCCCGTTTACTCTGGATACTGTCACTTGAGGCGGGTAGGCTGTGCCCACCTTATAGATAAGGAAGTTGAGGCACAGAGCTGCAGGGCTTATCCACCCTGCTGGCCAGATGGGAGGTGCTGGAGCCTGGCTGAGTGTCACTTGGGCCTGAACCATGAGCTGCACCCCATGGGAACCTAGCGTCTGACATAGAGTAGGCACCATCTGTTTGCTCGGCGGCTCCTGGACCCACTGGGTTTCTATGTGTAGCAGTGGGAATTTAAGCAAAAGAAGAAGCTCCTATTGTGAGCCAGACTCTCCTCTTCTGTGGGGGGTGGTGGGAGGGAATGGGACCCTCCAGCCAGGGCCAGGTAGCTGCAGGTGGGTGTCAGGTCGCAGTGGCCATTTATCAAGAGCAGACCTCAATCTGATTCACCTGCAGGCTGCTCAGAGAATCTCCAAGAATCACTACAGAGAAGCAGCCTCCCTCAGTCATTCGGAAAGTATTCACTGACCCCCTGTTGTGTGTCAGGAGCTGTCCTAAGAGAAACCCCACCCCTGAGGGGGCTGGCATTCTCATGGAGTGAGAGTAGGAACCTAGTAGGTAAGTGAGTGATGTCATTTCGGGTTGTGCTGGGAACCCCACTCCAGGGAGATGGATGGAAGATGCCTGGCAGGAAAGAATTGGGAGGGACTTCAGAGGGATAGTCAGGGGAGGCTTCTTGGAGGAGGTGTCATTTCAACAACTTAAACTTCAATGAAAGGAAGAGCCACACAGGCCTAGATCCTCAGGGACAAATGATGACAGATGATGTCAAGGAGGCTCAAAAGAGGTTGACCCCACCCAGCCCCCCAAGGGAGCCTTTCCCTTTCCCGCTGGTGTTGTGTTTGAGGGCCACAGGGCATGGACCCTCCTGAAATCTGGTGTGTTCCTGGGCTGGGAAGGGAGGTGAACCTGTCTTCAGTAGCCTGTGCCATTTTCTGTCTCTGGAGTCCCAGACCCAGTACAACGTGGCCATTTGTGGCAGAAACGGTGGTGTCAGCATGGACCTGGCAGCCGTAGTGGCTTGGCCACTGCACAGCCCGCTGCAGATGGTGGCCAACGCCAGCCACACAGTGCCTGCTCTTCAGAGGCTGGGCCTGCCCTTCTCCAGCCAGGTAAGGAGTGGATGGGGAAGACCTCCCTTTAAATTCTGTCCCCTCTGTCCAATTTCTGGGGTGCAGAGGACCCACTGTGTGCAGGGCAGATGGGGAGTGCCAGGCCTTGGGTTTCCCCAGCACTTTACAGTTTATAAAGGCTTCATTTGTAATCACTGTAACCTGGTCTGCTGAGAAGTCTCTGTCTTCCCAATCGCAGAGCTGGTGTGGACGGGCACCCTGGAGTAGCGTCTGGCTTCTGATCTGTCTTTCTGCCATGCAGTCTTGGGTCAGAATCAAAGCCCCTGCTTGTCCAGCGCCCGCCCTGTGCCAGACCCCTTTGGAAGGGTTCATGGACATTTGTTAGTTTCATCCTCCCAACGTCCCAGAGAGAGGCAGGATGGTCCCTTCCTTACCAAGCTTTTTCCAGTGTTTGGATCCCACCTCTGCTGCTTGCCAGCTGTGTGGCCCTGGGCAAATTCCTTTGCCTCGCCCTGCCCTCATCTCTTAATCTGCAAAATGAGGATGATGATACTATCTATAACAGGGAGGCTCTGAGGATTGAGTGAGTTAATCTCATGAATGCCTGAGTAGATGCTTAAGATGCACTTGTTGTGATGAAGATGAAAAAGGTGATGCTGATGGTGTGACAGTGACCATTATCATCATCACCATCGTAGCTGGGTCACAGGCAAAAGTGTGGGTGACTTGCCCAAGGTCACCTAGCAAGCAAGCAGCAAAATAGGGCCTCAGGCATAGCACCCAGGTCCTTTCTCATGGGGCCCTCCTGCCTCGGCGGAGGAACCCACATAGGCCTTGCCATGGCCACTGTCACTTGGCGTGAACTCGCCCTGCCTGGCTGGCCCTCCTCCAAGAGCCACAGAGTGTGTTCCAGAGCAGGCTCCAATGCTTCTTTCACATACGCACTCCTGTTTCAGATTACCCAGCAACCCCTGCCCTAGTCCACTCTGTGGTGGGAGGAGGGGGTGGCTTCTGGGGCTCGGGGGGCCAGGATATCACCCCTCCTGCAAAGGATCTCAGCTCTGTACCTCACAACTGAGTGGACTGGATACCCCATGCCCCTGACTTCAACTACACTCTATCCTGGACTCAAGGCCAGGTGATGGGGAGCCCCCGGGGAGCATGTTCTCAGCCGATGTCTGGGCTGCAGCTGTCCTTTGAGTGGGCATTGCCATCCTGAGCTGCAACAGGGGCCGACCCCTTGCATCCTCAGCACCCATGAAAGTGTTGGATGAGCCAGGCCTGCGGGGCTTGGGGACAGGGACATGCTGGGCTGTAGAGCTTGGCTGGGGTCCCCACCTGGCCTGGGAGGGTCCCCCGGCTGTCTCTACCCACACACCTCACAGTCTGCTCCCTCCTCAGCTCGTGTTCCTAGGACTCTGGGAAGCAGAAGAGATGAGCTCCTCGCTGCTGCTGACCTGCGATTCTCAGGCCAGCTTGGTCATTGACGTCCGTGGCCAGAACCAGGCAGTCAGGTGAGGCCCCCACCTACCAGGAGGAGAGGAGTCGGGGGGAGAAACCATTAGCTGGGCACCTACTGTGCACCGATGCTGGACACAGCACCTCTCAATCCTCTGCTCAGCCCCGCTGCACCGATGTGGGCAGGGAGGCTCAGATAGGGCAAGTGACTTTTCCAAGGTCATCTAGCTATAAAAATCCCTCAGTCTCTCCAGGCAGAGCACTGATGAGTTCCTGGTCTCAGAAACTAAGTGCATCCCAGGCTGTAGACACTTACTAGTGATTATGACTGCCCTTAGGGCTGGGCGCCTGGTAAGGTGCTCGGTGTTCTCACGCGTGCACTACATCAGGCGCCGCCAGCCAGTTTCCACTGCTCAGATCTCAGCAGCTAGAGAGGGAGTGAGGAAGCCACTTGTTGAAGGGGTAAACCAGTGGCTCTCACTTAAAGTCGACTCCTCCCCACCCCCAGGGACTTTTGACATGTCTGAGGAGTTTCTGGTTGCTACCCTGGGGAGGAGGACGCTCTGAGGGTCAGTGTACAGAGACCACGGACGCTGCTAAGCATCTTACAGTGGACACACCCACGACTGCGAGGAGGCCATGAGCCAAGACATCAGCTGTGCCAAGGCTGAGACCCTGGGGTGGAGAGGAACCCAACGGGAGGGTGCAACGCCCTGGGGTTACCCAGGCCTGGCACAGTGGCTCATACCTGTAACCCCAGTGCTTTGGGAGGTCGATGTGGGAGGATTGCTTAAGCCCAGGAGCTCCAGCAGCATAGTGAGACTAGTCTGGGCAACATAGTGAGACCCCCATCTCTACAAAAAGTCTTGAAAATTAGCCAGGTGTGGTGATGCTTGTTGTAGTCCCAGCTGCTTGGGAGGCTGAGGCAGGAGGATCACTTGAGCCTGGGAGGTAGAGGCTGCAGTGAGCAGAGATCATACCACTGCACTCCAGCCTGGGTGACAGAGAAAGACTCTGTCTCTAGGAAAAACAAAAAGGAAACATGGAGATGATTCCCACCCTGGCCTGAAGGACTGAGGGGAGGGGAGCTATGTGAGGAGGAGCCCTGGGAGGCAGCCAGGGGGTCACAATCCTGCTGTCCAGACCCTGCTGGGGCTCCCATGGGACCAACCCAAGAAAGCTCATGGACAGGCTCATGGCAGACCTGCAGCCCAGAGCCATGCTTAACCCTTGATACCAATGGGGAAACTAACGCTCAGAGAGGGGCAACCGAGATGCTTGCCCATTGTGCCAGAGCTAGGTAGAGGCCAAGCTGGGATTCAAACCCAGGTCACCTAACTCCAGAGTCCAGCCCTAACCAGAAC